GTGCAATACCAAATGGTTGAATCTTATTTTATGTGATTTTATAACTGGTCTTAATTTCAGGGTGTTTGTTAAACTTTAAGTGAAGTGTGGCTGTAATTGGTTTAAATATTTGGAATCTATTGTGTCCTGAAATTATTAAGCCTTGAAAAGCTGAACTGAAAATGAAACTGTAGACTTGACTGTCTTCAGATTAAAATAGAAATGACTGAGCTCTTTGGAGGTTAAAAATAGACTTACTATAATTTCCAAACCTCAAAGAATGACAGTTTTCAATTTTTATTATAGGTTAATTTTCTTGAATAACAAAATGTTTTCATGACTCAACACCTATTAAGCTGATAGCTTATATCTATAGTTAAATACTGGGACAGGCCTACTCAAAGCAGGACAAACCCAGCTAAACAAGGACAGCCTGGGTAAAATCATTGTATTCCTTTTTAAAATTTATTAATTACCTATTTCTTATGTTGTTTAGGTCTACTACTTTTCAAAATATATTTTACTGAGACTGAAACAAATATTTTGTCTCCCATCATATCATTCAAACTGAGTATCTTAATTTTTGCGGGTGCTAGATCAATTCTGTTTTTGCTAAGATATATATTTTTAAAGAAATTTAATGTTTACTTTAAATTTTAATATCTTTTCCAAAATATAAAATGATTTTACAGACTTTAGTGTGGGAGAAATACAATATTTAAATTCTAGATATGAGACTTGTACTGATAGAAAAACAAACTAATAATGAGGAGACCAAAGTTTGACCATCTCTGAAAAATAGATGTATATTCAGAATCACTAGGACATGAAGTCATATTTTGACCAAACATCATAGTCTAGTGAGCAAATCAGAAACATGATCTATTATTTCCAAGCAGGATGTAAGATCACTGATTAAGGACCAATCAGAAGCAAAGCGGCACTTTTGAAGAGGATCTCTTTGCCTTGGTAGATATATATATAACGAGGTGGTCATTCAAACTAAATAAGAATCAATGAATTAATTTTATCCATTCTCCACTGCTTTACTTATCGTAACATACTCAGAGCCAAAATACTACACATGCATAATCCACAGTCTTGCATAGAAACATACAATACCTATACTTTGTGGATGTCTTAGTTGCTAGTGTAAATGATTTCTACCATTTACACTAGCAACTAAGACATCCACAAAGTCTTGTGTTGATACTAAAATATACATATTCCATCACCCATTTACATAGGCAACTACTACCTCTGATACATTTCCCAGACTCTTTCTCTCTCTCATATGCACCAGAATATTTACATTTGAACTTTTAAGCCTCCAACTTATTACTCAGTCCTTGTGTATATATATATATATATATATATATATATATATATACACCCACATTATTATATAAAAACCTGTATTTTCTCTTAATCCCTTACATAAGGCCATATAGATTTATTGTGGGAAAGATTTATTGTCACCTGCACCAATCAGCATAAATTAATGATATAATAATTGAATGATAAAATCTTAGTATCCTGGATATTTCCTTGATTTTGCTTTATTTTTGCTTAATATTCATTTTCTTTATGTGTTATAGATTTTAGAAATGTTACAAAAAAAAGGTTTTAGATTTTATTTAAAATCTGCTTTGCTAATACAATCAGAATTAGCTAATGGTAATTAGTCGTTTCCTAATATGGAAACATTCAGCATTCATTAACCAAGCAGCCAGTGCTACTTCTGGTTAAAATTTAAAATATATTTCTATTAAAATAATTTTTCAGTAAAATAGGTGATGTGGTCTCTGTTATTTGGTACAGTTCTTTGTTTGTGATTCTGTAACACTATAGGCTGCTTGAATTTGAACCATTGAGTTTAGCATTGATCTTTTAATAGACAACAATTTAATCAAAGAATGTAATATATGCCATAAATTTTAAGAGAATCATGACAAGGAAAAACCTTTTTCTTTTCCTTGTCATGAGATCTACTTTACAAGTTTTATCAATGCAACAATAGAGTGTCACTAATAGAATTTTTTGGTCTGTTGAAATACTGAACCACTGAGGTACCATCTGAGAAAAATAAAATATATGTATTTTTTTAGCATTTTAGTATAAAAGATTTTAAAAGAATGACTTCAGAAGCAGACAACTTTTTTTTTTTTTTTTTTTTTAATCTTAAGTCAGAATTTTTGTTCTCTCTTGTGAGTTGGGTATTCACCAACTTTACAAAAGCTATAGGGAATTGAACCTAGATTCTATGTCATTAAGTCCAGTTTGTAAACTGTAAGCTATCTCTTGGGACAAGTGCAGCAAGCTATGTTATATATGTATGTACACAATTTTACTGGGTTAACTGTACTTATAACTGTCCTTATTTCAACTGTGTATCTGTTTCAGTATACATGTGTGTGGATTTTCCCCTCCCCCAAGTGTGTATCATGTTCTTGAAACCCATTTCCATCAATGGGCCAGAAAGATAACCAGCTGAGATAGTTTCCCCACTGGGCAAGAAGAAAAGATAAAAATCAATAGGAAACATGGCTGCATAATGTTTGAAAATACTTGCTTAAGGTATAAACAGGCTTCTTACAAGCATAGTGCCCTGAACTAGTTATATATTCTACCTTTTGTGGAATTTTTTAAAACAAGAACTGTTGCAACCTTCTTACAGAAGTTACATTCTCTTCTGTGTTTAATACTATCAATCCTCTTTGTGGAACCTGTTTATATCCTCTTAAGATTTACGAAACTGGATTTAAGAAAAGGGAAAATTTGCTCTATTTCCTCATAAAGAAAACATTATGACGTGCATGTTCAGAATTCAGTATCAAATAAATTATTGGTCACTCCAGAAACAAACGATAACAACAATAAACCCGATTGTTCAGTGTTGTAAATTCAATGACAAAAAATGATTTTTTTAGTTTTTAAAGGACAAGTGAATATTATGTAAAAGATAAATACAATTTTATTTGCATTGTATTTTAGGTTAACAAAGAATCAATGTATATGAAACAAATGTAATGTTTAAATTCATATGAACGCTCTAGGATGTTTATGTTGTCACAATAAAAATAACATTTTATTCAGAAATTAATCCAAGTTCATTTTTCCCATTTGAGAGAGATAAAGATAGATATGACATCATTTTAAAATGAGAAACATTTTAAAAGACAGATTGGCAATTATTTATATTGTTTGCATGGGAACTATTACCCTCATTTTTCTTGTTATCATAACATTTCAGTCAATTACACTCCAACCTTCATCAGGTGTATGTCAATCCAGGTAAAATGAATTTTTTATGGAATCTATGGGGGTAGATTGTTCTTTCATTCCACTGCCCATATTTAGGAATATCTCATCTAGTTTTTATTTTAGTATTGCCCACATTGATTGTCTTATTTCCACTATGTATGTACCCACTGCCTGGCCCAGTTATTGAACTTGCAAGTACTAAGTGGAAACAAAGCAAACAATAACGGAACAGTACTAAAAATAAGAACTAGATATCTATAGATATTGGTAATGGAATAAGAACACTCTACCCCTCTAGATTAAATAATGTGTTCAGTTTGAAATTCCCTGTAGGATACCTGGATCAACATGCACCTGATAAAGGTCATAGGTCCACAATGGCCAAAATGTTGTGATAGCAACAACAAAGATAAGGACAATAGTCCACATGTAAATAGTATAAATAATAATAGCTCCTCTTCTCAGAAATTCATACATATATATATATATATATATATATATATATATATATATATATATATATATAAATAATAAGAAAGAACAGTAAGATTTATAATCCAGTGTTCTTAGTAATTATTTTTAAAAAACGGTGTTCTATACAAAACAGTAGAGCATAATTTTATAATTATTTTCTATTTTAAAAATATTGTTCCATTGCTACACAGGAACTACCATGTTTCAAAGCAGAAACTAAAATTTTAAATTTAATTATAAATTTAAATTTAAAATCCATAACTTCATTACATTCTCAAGTGACTTTTTTTTGAAAATTTTTTCCAAAAAATCACTTGAGAATGAAATGAAGCCATGGATTTTAAATTTAATTTTATCATTATAAGAGTATGGAATTGCTCTATCATCATTATAATCAGCTTTGATCTTCTTATCTGGATACTTCAGATAGTGAGAGATAAGTCTGCTCTTCAAACTGACTTTATTGATATATTAATTTTTTATGCCACAATATGGACCTAAGATATTTTGTTTACATATCTATTATTGGGATGGACTCCAGATTTTATATAAAAATCTGTAAGGTGAGGTCAACAACATAATTATCATCTTCTCACAACATTTAATGAAGATGGTCAGTGAATATTTGTTATTGGTTATAATAGCATAACAATCAACACATCCAAGATATACCATATATGTCAAAATAATGGATACCTGAATATGGCTGCAGAGTACATTTTAGAAACATTGTCAGTATAATAAAAAAAAAAGATGAGCATGTAATAATGGACTCTTGATCTGTTTTATCTTGGATATATATATATATATATATATATATATATATATAATGTGTGTGTGTATATATACATATCATACTGTTTTCAAGTAAATAAAACTTACATACACATGTATATAAAAATCTTTATTTTGACTTTTTTTGCCAATGAACTAGTGAAATGAGAAAAGTTTATTTTCTGAAATAACATTTTTGATGATGCTGGTTCATCTGTGAAAGATGTCAAAGTTGATTGATTGGCTGATTGATTTTATATGGCTTATCAAACCTTTGCAGGTTACAGAAAATAATTTTAGAGTATAAGAATTTTTTGCAAGATAATAATGGTTTAGTGATACAAGTCTTACTAGTTAATCCATAGCTGAGGGGAGAAAAGGTGTATTTGCACCTTTCCCAAGAGTATTTGCATGTAACTGAATATAATGAACCCAACTGAAATTAGAGCTTGGCTCTTTTGATTAACAATTCTGAGCCATTATCCATTAGACTACCTGTACACCCAAGTTTACAGCACCTGGTATTCCTAAGCTGTCACCCATCTAGGTACTGACCAGACTTGACATTGCTTAACTTTGGTGATTATACGAGAACCAGTGTTTCAACATGAAGTGGCTGTAACTTGCCAATGTTGGAGGTTTCAAAATTGTTATATATATATATATATATATATATATATATATATATATATATATATATATATATATATATATATAGAATTCCATTAGATTCTGATCCAACTTTAATTGCATGCATACTAGTGCATATTAAGAGTTGATAAATAAATAGAAATAACTTTTGGTAAAGTGTTTTAGAACTCATTAGGTATGCTGGAAAGCTGAAATTTTAAATGAGGTCCATAAAGCCACATGATATGCACAAACCAAGTTATTACTATTTTTTTTTTTTTTTTTTTTACAACAACAGAAAAGTGGATATTTATGCTTTTAATGTGGGCACTCCAATAAATAGGAAGCAACTCTTTAAGTTTTAATTATTTAATTTAAGTTAAGCGTTTTGGCAAATAAGAACAAGTTTATCATGCTATCATCTTATTTTAAGTAAAATGAGATTTAAAAGCATTGCATTAGTTCTTTTAAATTCTTATTATGATGATAATGCTCCGTTTGAATTGATCTATGAATCCAATTGACATATTCTTGAATGAGGTTTCATGAAACCAAACTAAAAATGTATGTAAATATTTGAATATAGACAGGATGTGTCCATGTTCATAGTGAGAATCCATTCAACACTTGTCCATCTTTTCCTTTAAGTTTCAGCAACTTCAGAGGCAGATAACCACTCCTTTTCTCTAAAATCAATTAACCAAAATATCAACAGGATATGCATATATTTTCTTTAAGGAAGTTTTATTGATTTTTGAATGAAATTTTCAAGCAGAGAAGAAATGGAATAAAAACAATTACTCTGAACAATTTCAATTTATAACTATCAGATTTTTTTACAGTTTTAACAGCTACTTCTTAGATAATGACTATTCTTCCAGGTTATTTATAAGGCATTCTGGCTCATTATGTAATTGTATAAAAGATCTATTTTTGCCCAAAATATTAAAATTTGTAGTAAACACAGGAAGATAAGCTTGTTTGATCAACTATGAAGTTCCAGGAACATTCAGTGTACCATTTTCTCTTCATATTTCTTAATCCTGGGTATGATAATAAACTACATCTGGCAGCAAGGCCTCTGATTGGAAGATTGGAATTTTTGAGTAGCGTAGAACCACCTCTTAATTGCTGTTGTTCCAAGGTCCACCCTGACCTGGGGTGGTATTACCCGTTAGGGTCCTAGCTATGGGCAAATAGCAAACCCCCAAACACTATGATAGTATAAAAATACCAGCAATACATTTTTAAAGCATAATTACCAACAATACATTTCATCTGTAGTTGAAGCCATAAAACTGTGCTCAAAGTATTTCAATTTCTACATTAAATAACCCATGGTGGCTGATATGCTGCTAAACAAAATGAACCAACCAACCAACATAAAAGAAATATTTCATGACATTAGTCCATATAATAGCCTACAATTTCTGAAAGAAATCAAATTGTATTCCAAGACATAACTTCAACAGAACTATATACAACACGCATATCACTGACTCTTGTAAAATATAAAATGTATATACACAAAAGATGAGTATCATCTACCATGTATTCAATTGTGAAAGCATAATAACATATTTTTATTACTTCAAAGCTACCAAGAAAATTATATTTCAGTATTAAATGATCAATAAGGATCTGATATGCTGTCAAACAAATCAATCTTAATATTTCTTACAGGTATGGTAGTGTATGTCATATATGACATCAAATAGAGTGAGTAGTGACTGTCCGTTTGAGTTATTTGTGTGATTATATAACCACCACCTCATTAGTTCTGTATTATTTCAGGTTTACACTTACTATCAGGGATCATGTAATTTATTAGCCTCATAGGGGCACCATATGGTTATTTTCTACGTGTAACTTAGATGTGGCACAAGGCTGAAAGTATGAAGCACCTAGTGAGGACCGAACTCACTTTTCAGTCATAACTGATCTAGAGAGTCATGCTTGCTAACCATTACACCACACCGAGGTGCCCAAATAGGGCCACCATATGTACTACATCTATACTAGTAGTCATTTGTTGCGGCAAGATACTTTTCAGGCTGCTTTTGAATTCATAATTTTCTTCTCGACTCTAACGTTAGTTCTCTTATGATCACCAGTTATGATCACTCAATTCCTACATGTGTGGCAGCTTGTGACAACCAAGTGTTTTAGGCTTGGATGTGCAGGTGGTGTAATTGGAAATTGAAGACAAAGTTTCAATTCCAGTTGGGTATGTTATATTTACTTATGAACGAATGCTGTTTGGAAAGGTATGAATGCACTTCTCCTCCCCCTAGCTATGGGTTAATTAGTAGGACATATAGCAGTGAAATATTATTCCCCCCCCCACTCAAATTCTTACAATCTAAAAATATTTTCTGTCTTTAAATAATCTGTAAAAGGTTGATAAGCAATAAAAAAACAAAGCAATCAATCTAGACTGGTTGCCAACCAAGGCAAGAAAACCCAGAGCCCATTCTATTCTGCTATATTGCACATAACTGAAGAAAGATGGATTCATACTTTTCCCAAAAGCATTAGTATGATATCAAGGAATCAGAATTAACTGGACTTGAATTGATTTATCAGTCTAACTTTCTGCATTGTTAACTGTCAATCACATCTGTATGAATGCATTAAAAATACCATGAATTTTGTATACAACTTAATACACATTCTCTCTGTTAATATTATTGAAATATACTATTTTTCTTTCAAGCAACTAAACAGATTAATTCTAACAGTAATATCATTGTCATATTGGCGCTATTTAAATGCTCTTTTGTTGAACATTACAAATATATTTCTTAGGCATGTATTTTTAACAAGCCTCTAATGTTTTTGAAAAGCAGCCAAAAGTTTTGAATGAATTGAATTTGTCATATGAATGAAGGTAAAAAATCTCACCAAAATCTAATATCAAATTGAGTGGTATTGGAGTTGTTCTGAAATCAGGTAAAGTAGTGTCATGGAAAACCCACTGTTGAATCTCAGTAATTTAAAACCAATCGGCACAATTAAGGGTCAGAAGATCTTTGATTCACAAGTAACTTTGAGCTCTTAAGTCTGACTTGAGCAAGCAATTTGTCAGTGGTGCTTACTACTTAGGCTAAGTGGTGCTAACTGGTCAGATATGAAAGTGTTGAGAAGTCTGAAAGGTCAGAAGTGTTGTGCATTATTCCACAGAATATTTCATTGTGGTCAGAATTGAAATTTAATCTTGTCAATTGTTCTATTTTTGTCTTTAAAGTTTCTTTAGTTTTATTTATCTTTTAAGATGGTCATTCAATAAATTAACCAGCACCAGTAAAGAGTTTGAATAAAGCAAAAGAGGAATTTAATATTGGTTTGTATCATTTGGTGAAACATATTCAAAAATATATATAAAGCATAGATTAATATATGTCTCTTGACACATAGTTATTTACTAAATTTGGATCTGAAATTTTCACTGTATATGGTGGTCTGAAAGTCTTGTCACTCATAATTTTCTGTTTCATATGGCTGACATGAAAATGATGTTGTTCATACAGGCTTTCTCAAGAGATGACAAGAATTTTGGACTACCCTGTATGATGTTCAGACCTCTCAACTCTTGATTAAAATGGGGATCACAAGTAAAGTGTAGGAGGTTATTTTAATTTTCAAAATTTTAATGAGCATACCTCTCCACCATGTGAATTCAAAATTTAAGAGTACCTCTTGAATAAAATATGAGGTGTTTTCTAGTTTTTTTTTTTGTTTTTTTTTCACAAAATGCTCACTTGATACAAGGCCTAAGAACTAATCAAGGTAGAGGTTTACTAAATGAGGTTGTTGTATGTACATAGGAGGGAGAAGTAAGTGTAGATAACGAGGATATGTACAATACACACCCAGAATTTTATTTGAAACACCCACAGTTTATTTGATTGATTTAGTGAATGATTGATTTGTTTATTTTTTCTTTTTTTACATTTTATCAACCTTTTGTAGGTTATTTAAAGCCAGAAAATATTTTCAGATTGTAAGAATGTTTTAGAGATAATAATGATTTACTAATGCAAGTCTTACTAATTACTAATTAAAATAGTTGGTGGGGAGAGGTAGATTAATACCTTTCCTCCAAGGATATTTGTGTGTAAGTGAATACAGTGAACCTGACTGGAATTGGAATTTAGCTCTCCAATCTCCAACTACTGTTAAACATTACACCACTTGAACATCCAAGCTTTCAGCACTTGTATTCCTAAGTGGTCGCTCATCTCGGCACTGATCAAGATAACTTTGGTGTTTATACAAGAACTGGTGTTTCAACTTGATCACAAGCCCCACATTTTGTTAGGCACAAGAATATGCCATTAAATTAACCATTAAATTGAAAAGGAAATTGTGTTCAAAAGTTTGTTGTATAACATAAATGATTTTTAATCATTAGGCTATGGAATTATTGATGTGGTCACATACAGAATTTTAGACAGACATGTATACACTAATGAGTCAAAACACAATCACCTGACTAGTTATGTATTGATTCCCTGTGTTCTTGTAAAACAGTTCTTACTTGATCAGTCATGGAATTAATAAGGCTGACATAGCTTTTCTTTAGGACCTGGTACCAGTATATTAACAGCTAGCTGCTTCTTGAAATGCAATTTGCATGACAGTAAAGGTTTTGGCCAAAGACATTCTATAAATTCTGAATGTTTCTGTGTTCCTCAATCTATTGAAGTACATATTGTGCAAGTATCAGCATTGTCCAATTGAAAAATGAAACTGCTATCATTGAAGAAGTGGAATATAGTCTTCAATAATATTGAAGGAAGTGGTATGTGAAAATGTACCTTCCATCAGCAGAACATTGCTCACAACATCCACTGGCTTGATTCACCCATACACAATATCACATTTTATAATACAAATTCATATTTTCATGATAAAAGTCTATTAGCTGACTGATTTTGGTAAAATTTTCAGGATATATTCATATGAGAAAATTGTAAG